CCCTGCCTGTCTGTTCCTCATCCAGGACTCCTGGATGGCCCCCAGGCTGGGCCTCACCCACTGTAGCCACAGCAACTATGTCATAACACCTGGTAGCTGGTTTGTCTCCCAGCCAGATGGCAGGGTTCATGAGTGTGAGGATGCTGTATGTGTGTGGCCCCAAGAAGGTGCTCAGTAAATATCTGAATCTCATGAGTATTGCTAAGGGTGAGCTGGGGGCAGGTCCAGGATGCCTTGACACAGCGTGGTGGTTAAAGACCAGGGCTGTCAAGCCAGGTTACTGCCAGCTGTGGGATCATGGGCAACTAATTTAACCCCTCAGGGTCTAAGACTCCCCATCTCGAACATGGGATGATAATAATTGAGGCTACCCCACAGGAATCTTTTAAGAATGACATGAGATGATCACATAAAGGGCTTGGCATGTAGGAAACTCCTAATAAGGTACCCGGAGGTTCCTGGAAACCAAGTCCTGTAGGGCAGGCCAAGGAGATGAAGGGAGACATCTGGTGCATCAGCCTGCACTGCCCCCATCACTCTGCTGCTCCTGCCTGGTCCTTGAACACACCAGGCTCCACCTCACCACAGGACCTTTGCGCCTGCTGTTTCCCCCACCTGGCTTGTCCTTCCCACCATTCTTTCAATGCTCCATTCAAATTCCACCCACTCAGGGAGGTTTCCCAGGTCCTCTGGGCATGATCCTAGCACTCTATGTAAAACCTTACGGCACCTGTTACTACCTGCCCTCACGTTATTTATATAGTTGCTTATTGCCTGTCTCTAGGATGTCAGGCCTCTTGTAGGAAGGGAGTTTTGCCTCTTTTGTTCATGGCTGTATCCCCAGCACCTAGAAAACATCCTGACACCATAGTAGTTGCTGAGTATTTAATGAATGAATAACAAATCTGGAGGTGGGGACAGTATGAGACCCCCTTCTGCTGGGTAAACTGAGGCACAAAGGGGTAGCTGGTGTCCCTGACTAGCCAATCTCTCCCCGGCCACTAGAGGGCACAAACTGTTTTAACCTGTGGCTCAGGAGCAGGACTCATGGACAGTGTAGCAAGAGGGAGCTGGAACAGACTGATGGGACTGGGGTACACCTGGGGAACAAGTGGGCTGCTCAGGGTGCTAAGCTGTGCACTTGTATCCAACTAACGAGCTCAGAAGAGGGAACCAGGCCGACCCGAGTTCAAGCCCCAGCTCCTTGCCACCCCCTGTGGGGGGAGGGCATTCATCAGGTCTGTTTTCACAACCATAAAATGGGAAAATAAGCAGAGCACAAAGAGAAGGCTCTGGACCCAAGCAGAATCAGAATCCCATCCCAACCCCTGCTGGGCTGGGTGACCTAGCCCTCTCTGAACCTCAGGGACCAGGCTGGATGCTCCCCCAGGGCCGCAGGGCCCACTCTCTTACCAGAAATGCCACTTCTGCCATCCAGAATGTCTCGGGGTCCCTCCTTGGTGACAGGCAGGTAATGGGTGGACCGGAAGATGACACCTTCCCCCTCAGCAGCCTCGGCCCCACCTTCGATGTCTTCCCTCGGTGCTGGGCCGGGCAGTCTCTCGGGGCCACGAGGACGATCTGGGGCGGCCAGGCCGCCTGCCAGGGGCCCATCCATGGATGCTGTCTGCCTGGCTCCACTCAATTGCTGGTCTGGCTCAGCAAGGCATTGTAAGTCTGGGGGCAGAGAGACAGGTGCTCAGGAGAGGTGAGAAAGGGATGCTGCCTTAGTTTCTCCTACCTCGAAGTTCCAGTCCTCACCCTTGCTACTCAGTGCCTCAGTTTCCCTCCCAGCCCAGGAGAGCTAAGTAAATGGTGCTGAGGCCCTGTCCATATGCATTGTAACCCAGATGGCCCCTATCTTCCGTATGACTCAGTCTCCCCACGGGTAACTCCTCTTTACACAGCTCCTGCACTGTGCTGCCTCAGTTTACCCCATTTTCTCCACATGCAAATTCATGGACCTTGTTTTCTTCCAGCATTCATCCTATCACTTCTCCCAGATGCCTCCTCTCACTCATGCTCTACTGCACTTTCCCCAATTGTGCCCTCACTTCCATGTACATGCAGATCCTCTGTCCCTGCTTTAGCATGGATCCCAGCCACTTCTACACCCTGATCCTATACATTATCTCAAGTGCTCCCATCATTACTTCTGCACTTTTCCCACACTCTGACCCCTATCCTCGAAGGACCTTAGGGTTCTCCAGCGTTAACCCTTCACCCTCACCCACAGCCTTAAGTGACCCCAGCATTAACCCCTTCTCTTCTCCGCAACACTCCCTCATGCATACCCAGCCTGGGCTTCTTCATCCCACCCTCCCAAGATTTCTCTAGTCTGCGGACAAAAACGACGGATGGGGCTCCTGGTCCAGAAATGAGGACCCTGGGGAGGCCGAGTGTGTGAGGGGGTGGGTGCTGTCCTCTCCACCTATAAATACCTTCAAGGTAACGGCGGAAAGTGAAGGGCAGGAATGAGGCGCCCTCCCCAGGGAGATGGTGGGGAGGCCGGGCCCAGGCAACCGGGGCGGGGCCCGGGCTCCAGGCCTGGCTGCAGGCGCTGCCCTCGGGGGCCTGGGGGCTCCCAGGGGGCCAGTCCGTGGCCTGGCAGTCGTGGCGGGGGTCCCTGCCCAGGCCCAGAGGAAGCACCTGCGGGTGCCCACCGGGTGGGCACTGCCCGCGGGGAACAGGCGGGACCGCAACTTCGGAGCACTTTGGCAGCGTGGAAGGCTCCTGCCTGACGAACTTTGGGGTCGCAGGGGTGGGGGCGGCGCCGCGCCAGCGCACCCCTCGTTGGGTCAGGGTCCGAGACGCCCCTCCGTCAATTTCTGGGGCGGAGACCGTGACGCGCCGAGGTGGGACATCTGTCTCTAAGACCCCTGCTCCTCCCCCCCCACTGAACGGCCCTGCTCCCACCCTCAGGCTCCGCCCCTGCAGGGTCTCTGCCCCTGCCCCTGCCCTGGGGGTCCTGCCTGTCCTGGCCTGCCCCTGGCTCTCCTCTCCCCTGTCTGGTCTGCCTCGCTGGCTCCCCAGGCTGGGCCTGGCCTCACTGGGGATATGGCGGCCAGGCGCTGTCTGAAAGCTTCTCCTCGGTGTGGCTGTCATGCTGCCACTGCTGCTGCTGCCTGGTGCCGGTGCCGCGGCCTCCGCAGCCGCCGCCGCCTCCACCGCTCGGGGGACATTGTCCCCACTGCGCCCTGCCGTTCTGTTCCCCGCCGTTGTGACTCATACCAGCCCCGCCGCGCCGCCATGATGGGGAGGTCCAGGTCTCTTCATCCCCCCCCCCCGTGTCGCTCGGGCGGTCAGCGGGCGCGCCGCCATGTTGGGAGTGGCCAGGCGGGTCACACTTAAAGGGCCCGCGCGGCCTGAGAGTCCAGGGAGAGGGTCTGTTTCCATGACAACACACTTGTCCCCCTGCCCCCAATAGCTTCTCATCACCCTACTGGTTCTTCCAATGCTAGGCCTGCTAATAGCAGCAGAAGAGTGAGGAGGGGGCAGAGAAGTTCCCCCATGAGTCATTTATAGGTCACTGAGAACTCCACCCAGCCAATCCTTATCCTTCAGTCCCTTGCCCCCAGTCAGCTACCTTCCAACCACAAGCCTTCTCCCTCCTTTCCCATTATCCACGCTGGACTTCAGCGCCTCCATGCCCCTAGAGCTGCCCTAGGTCCCCAATATTAAGCCCCTTTTCTCCATCCAACCCCAAGGATCACAGCCTCCAGAACTATCCCATTGTGAATACATAAGAAGTCTGTGGGCTTCTCCCATCCACCACCTATCCACACGTTCAACCACCCATTCATCTCCCCACTCATTCATCCACACACTCAACCAATCAACCACTCATCTATCCATTCAATCAACTAACCATCTATCCACCCATCCATCTAAACACCCACTCAAACCACCCATTCACTTCCCATCTACCCACTCATCCATCCACCACTCAACCAACATCTGGTCCTGTGAGCCAGCTAGCCACCCACCCAAATCCCCACAACCCATCTGAACACCCACTGAGTCCACCCATCCACATCCCATCTACCTGCCCAGCCACCCACCACACAAGTAAATACTTACTTATCCATACAACCAAGCAAGCATCCACCTATCCCTGCACACACCCTTTCACCCAGCCATGCAGACATCCATCTTTCAGTTGCACATTTACTTGCCTCCTCCGCTAGAGTGTAAGCTCCATGAGGACAGGAGTCCCATCTGCCTTGTTCATTATTGGTTCCCCACTGCCTAGCTCAAGAGTCTCAGGAGACCCCGACAAATATTCATGCAATATATATAACCACTTACTCAATTAACTCACATATTTATTTTCTACTGTGATCCAGGTCTCTTCTAGGCAGACACACCTATCTGGGCTATCTGCCTACTTACTCACCTACCAGGGCAAATATTCACCAAATGCTAACCTATTTACTTGCTTATTGTCCCATTCACCCTACCTCCCACCCATCCGTTCACCCATGATTCAAATGTCCACTCATTTACCCAACCAACACCCACGGAGCTCAACTGTCTTCACACCTACTCACCCCTTCCTCCATCTGCCTCCCAGACCTATGCTTTCCCTATCATGAGGGAGTTGGTGTGGGACTTGGGGGCCTAGGAAGATACTATCATATGGGCACTGGGCTTCATTGAGAAGCAGGTACTGCCTCTAACAATGATGAATACCTTTTATCGAACACCTTAAACTATGGGTCTTCTACTGTGTAAGAAACTTTAGATCCATTTTACAGATGAGGAAATTGAGGTTCTGACAGAGTAAAGGTCTAAGGTCACACAGCTGGTGAGAATCTCCTCATGTATCCCTTCCATGAGACCTCCAATTAGGAGTGAATTTGGGAGACCTGAATGGTGGGAGTGGGGTGCTTTCTGATTGGCAACACTTAGGGGCAAAAAAATCCATCGACTTTACTGAAATCAAAATTTTACTGGGTAACCTCATAGTGCCAGACTTTTTGGCAGCTAAAGCTCCACTCCCTACTGTAGGCCACTTAGGGCTGGAACAGGGGTCGGACAGGCCTCTGGGGCGGCCATCTGCTCCCAGACCACGTGGGGCAGAGTGGACAGCTCAGGTGGTATCTCCGTTGATACACGGTGGTTTGAGGGGGAGGGACTGGCTCCGGGATCCCGGCGTTCTTGAAAGAAGCTGCAGGCTTTGCACCACATTCCTCAGCTGGACCTGAGTACTCTCCATCTCAGCCAGGCGGCGCTCCTGGAGAGGCAGTGGCAGTGGGCTCGGAGCCAGGGGTGGGTTGCACCCCAACCCTGGTTCTCTCACCGCCCACATCTTCCCCGCGGCTGGGGCAGGGGTCTCACCAGACTTCTCAGCCTGTGATCCTCACCGCTTGGACGGCCACTCTCTGGATCCAACTGCGAGGTCCTGTGGGGATCAGGGGCAAGAAGGGAGGGTCAGAGGCTGAGAAACTCCGCCTCCAGCTCCGGGTTGGGCAGCCAGGAAATCAGAGGGCGGGGCTTGGCGCGGAGGCGGAGTTTGTCTACACTAGGGGGCGGAGCCTAGATAAAACTGAAGCCCGGGCTGAATCAGAGCCTTGAATGGCTGGGAGGAAAGAACCGAGCAATCTTGGGGGACGGGGCTTGGACAGTCTGGGTGAAGTGGGGACCGGGATGGAGGTGTGCCCTGATTGAGAAGCCCGGGACCAACCTTTTTGGGAGGGGCTGATTGAGGAGTGGGGCCTAGAGGCTAGGACTCGCCAGAGAACTGGGGTGGGAGGAACTAAGAGGGGGGAGAGACAGGTGTGTTGGGGCGGGGCTGGCAGAGGGGCGGGGCCTGTCAGGAGTGATTTGAGCGGGATTGAGAGGCAGGGCCTGAATGAAAGTGGGGCCATGGCAGATCTGATTACAGCGGGCTGACCCGGGGGCAGAGCTAATGGAGAGGGCGGGGTTCACCGTTGGCGGAGCCTGGAGTCCAGGTCTTGCAGCTGGCCCTGAAGCTGCTCCTGCCTCTCCATCAAACCCCGGATGTCGGTGCCCAGCGACTCCACGAGGCGGGACAGAGCCTTCTGTTCCTCGCGCAGGGAGGCCACCTCACACTGCAGCTCTGCCAACTGTGGGAAGGAAGCAGCTGTAATCTGACCCGTCGTCCCGCCCCATCTTCTCCCCGAAAAACCCAGACCTCCTTGTCCCTTGCGCTCTGCCTCCTCACTGCCCTGCTCCGTTAGGAAACCTCGCTCAAGTTTTGCAAAGGAGGAAACTGAGGACCGAAGAGGGTTGCAAACTAGTCCCGGGGTCGCACAGCGCAGCGAGCTCGGTATTTGAACCCAGACCTGCCTGGCTTCTTGTCTTTCCAGTCCCGTCTTCCCCCTCTGTGCAGAGACCTGAGCTGGACCTCACCTTGCCCACGGGTCGGTGCGTGCCCAGCGCCTGGTCTCTGTCCCGCGGCTGGTCCAGCTGGCGCTGCCACGGCACCGAGGGCTTCCGAGGCAACGATGCTGAGGCCCCGGTCCAGGGCCGGCCGCGG